TGTTGGCTCAAGTGTCAATTCCGTATGAAAGACTCTTAATTGCTATTGGTGTCGTTAATTCGTCCATATTTATACTTCATTGCGTATTTCCCGGTAATCTCTTGCCGATGTAAAGCTGGCTGTGGTTAACACGTTTTTTTTACTAGCGTACCTATTACCGTATTGTCACAGACTTTGTTTTCTTATTGATTTTCGAATCTATGTAGTTCTAATTTCAAATTAGAAACCGCAAACAAGCGGCAGTCAATCTCTTTCTCTCTCTCTCTTCGCTCGGTCCCTCACTGCTGAGGATCGTAACTCCGTCCGATTCCATCAACCAGCTGTGTCCATCGAACCCGTTTTGTAGCTTGGTGGAGTCCGTCGCTGACAGGTACTCTCAATTCCTCCGCTATTTGGTCCGACCATCGTTTGGGACCTCTACCCCTAGGCCTTTTTCCCTCTATTTTAAGCAGCAGTCAATAAATCGCGCTTTGTTATTCGATGAAAAAAATTTGAAATGCTGTATCGTGGTCATTGTGCATCAGGCAATCTCGTGAATCTTCAAGGATTTTGCTAGTCCGTTTTTTGAGTGTGAGTTGTGATTTGTCCAAAAGTCTCTATCATACTACATATTTTGTTCAGATGAAATATTTTATCTCTAAAACAGGTGCTAAAGTTTGTTTTACAAACAATTAAAAGTTCGAGTTTCGGAGTGAAATTAACGTAATTATTTTAATTTCGATACGGAATGTAAGGTTTCGTACGAAAATGTTACACGATACTTCGCGTATGAAGGTCGATTTTGTGAGGTTTCATATCATTGGTAATGAAGAAGGGTTTGTGTAAAATTAATTAATACATGTCATCACCAATTCATGCATACTTAATACTACAAATGGCATGACTTCAATATAAGCATTCGTGGTATAAAATCATTCGCAACTGTTCTACAATTCTAACCTCTGCCATAAATTGTTTTGATCACAGAAAGCAAACCAGAGGAAAATAAATTTGGTATTTCGGGAATGTCAGACTTTTTATGAAATTAATGAATGTTAATTTAAGCCTTATCTTTTTGTTTCCTGGCAGGGAGTCGAACTTCGTGCATGAAGTATCCGCGACTAAGAGGCGCACAGGTGGGTCTTGATTGTATGCAGATATTGGAACTAGACCACGGGTTAAGGACGTTCTAGGGCCCTACCCGCCAAACGACTCTTCTTGCACTATGTCATCTGACGTTCGATCTCCACCCGGGATCAGAACTCAGCCTGAGTAGAGTGGTTCCTACGGTCAATACTAAAAACAACCCTAAAAAAGCGACCCCACCACCAGGACTCATGTGTCGTCGAGGCGATTGTCGACGAATAACGACTACCACGATACGTCGTCCCGTTATACCAGTCGGTGCCGATGGAGATACCAACTGGATCAATCAGGTCGGAGCCCGATATAACGCCGACCGGATTGCTCGTCCACAATACGTTAGGCGAAGAAGGCAACGCGGACAGCAAAGTCAACCTTGGCCGCTTCTCCCCATCCTTCTGGTGCTAGCGTGTTAATGACAGTAGCGTGCGACACAGCTTCGACCCCCTCAGGTTGCCCTGTGATTCTTACGGGGAGGAGACTGCCTTTTTTTTTTTTTGTTTAACGCTGGGGAATCCATTTACGGATACGCGGTCGAGGGGGGTAACGGACCGGGTTATGTCGGACTCCGGCGCCTCCTGAGAGGAAAGAAGGGGAGAAGAGAAGGGCCGAGGTCCTTCACCTCCCCCAATTTCTCACAGGAGACTACGCCTTGAAAAAGGCGCGCGAAGCACTTGCCCCACAGAACGACTACCGACTAAACCCCATCGAGCTCCACCACACCGACTACACGAAACTTACGGTACCGCGATGCGCGCCGAAAGGGGAGGAGACTGCCTCCTTACAATATTAACTTACACACAATATAACTCCCAATCTAAATTTGTTCAAAAACATTTTTCCCTCCAAACAAACTGAGAGATTACAATATCGATGTCATATAAATAAAATATTTTATGAATATACCGAAATTCTACATGGAAATAATTTTAGTTTGCTTTTATAGCAGACGAAGTGTATTGATACACAGGGGATTATAAATATGAATATCACTATGTTTGGTTTTCGATAGAAACTTCTTTATATTTAGAAGCTCGTGACAAAATCGCCATGATCATGGTGAGAGTTGACTTACTAATGCGTTTGTCTCACTTATATTCGAGCTTATTGAAAAGAACAATTAAAATGTTATTAAACAGTTGCGTGGTTACTGGGGAATGATTAAACATGGCGTGGGACGCCCCCTGNTATGAATAATATCACTATGTTTGGTTTTCGATAGAAACTTCTTTATATTTAGAAGCTCGTGACAAAATCGCCATGATCATGGTGAGAGTTGACTTACTAATGCGTTTGTCTCACTTATATTCGAGCTTATTGAAAAGAACAATTAAAATGTTATTAAACAGTTGCGTGGTTACTGGGGAATGATTAAACATGGCGTGGGACGCCCCCTGGCTAGATGGTGCGATGACCTCCGCACGGTGGCCGGCAAGAAGTGGATGAGGAGAGCCGCAGACCGGGCTCAGTGGTATAGATTGGGAGAGGCCAGCAGTGGACGACTGTGGGCTGTTGATGATGATGATGATGATGAACCAGAATAGTAAACAGGTGCACACACGGAATTGGTTTTGAAGGGCTGAGATCGACGATTCTGTCTGTCTCTGTGAAATTAAATTCAGGACAAAGTTAAACGATGTTTATATTTTAAAAAAAACTACGTAATTTGATGGCCTTGAGAGGCCATTTCATTGTAACCCTAAGAAGTAGGTGAGCTCACGGGGCTCAAACCCAACGACGTTGCTAACACTAACCCTAGCAAAAGCAGTGCGTCGCAGAATCTACCAACGGATCATAAACGCGACCCACTGAGAAGATCCTTCGAAAAACTCAGTGGGCTGTGTCTAGAAGTTTGTTTTGCCAAGTCCTTCGTCGCCAGGGGTTCGACGAGAACGATGACCGGTGCTTGAGGTACCTAAAAGGACCTTTAGTGGATCGGGAGGATCCGAAATGACGTGTTTATATTCATTATAAGTTATCGAAGCTTTAGAAGCCCGTTATAAGATTATTGACGCTTTTTTTAGCATGTCTATGCCTATAGAACTTTCGATAAGATTATTCATAATGGTTTACTAGGGGCCTTGAACGTTGCTATAGTAGTCCTATAGTAAACAGTGTTGCGATTTCGGAGAAACGTAATTGGGTTATTGAAATCAGGGCTGTTCCAATTTTATATTATTTAAACGTGTTGTTTTTATTCAATGGATTTTCACCAATAATTAAATTTGTTGATTTCGATATTAAGAGACGACCATTCTGTCTATATTCTTTGTAGTCTCGTTTTTGCGTGTTATCTGTACCTACATATACGACAGTTTTGTTTTTCAAGGCACTTCGAAAACCCATTGTGTTTTTTACTAAATTTATTATTGGGCTCCACTTATTTGATAGCCTGATGCCTTAACCCCGGTTAAAATGTTTATAACTAAATGTTTCCTCGGCTTTTTCGAGTGATCCCGGTATATAGCAGGGTACAGTCAATAATAAAACCATGAATCATGTGAAACTCAATTCAATGTCCAAACTCCAGTATTTGTTCAGGACAAGCAGATTTATGCATTCCGTTATTTTTAGTGGCCCGGATGTGTTTCTTTCTCTGAGAGCTGAGATAGTATGTTTTGTTTATTTAATGTGAAGATTCGCTGCAGCTGTAATCTATTTTGTAGATACTGGGCTGCTCAAGCTGCCTCTTGTGACTTTACACGAGCAGGTTTTTTTTATTATTTTTTTATTCCTTAGATGGATGGATGAGCTCACAGCCGACCTGGTGTTAGTGGTTACTGGAGCCCATAGTACAACGTTAATGCGCCACCCACTTTGAGATATAAGTTCTCAAGTCTCAAGTATAGTTAGGTACCACTACCCCGCCTATTTCTGCCGTAAAGCAGTAATGCGTTTCGGTTTGAAGGGTGGGGCAGCCGTTGTAACTATACTGAGGCCTTAGAACTCATAACTCAAGGTGGGTGGCGGCATTTACGTTGTAGATGTGTATGGGCTCCAGTAACTACTTAACACCAGGTGGGCTGTGAGCTCATCCACCCACCTAAGCAATAAAAAAAAAAGTTAGTTTACGTTAAATACCAGGTACCCTTTACAAGGTAAAAACCTATTAAATCAATGTATTTATCACTCTTTGTGAGTAAAGTTAAATTTAATTACATTTCGCATGCAGCCTTTCCGTTGAGTTGAATATCTATACTAATATTATAAAGAGGAAAGATTTGTTTGTTTCGAATAGGCTCCGAAACTACTGGACCGATTTGAAAAATTCTTTTTCCATTAGAAGCCGACATTGTCCCAGATGAACATAGGCTACTTTTTTTCTTTTTATTTTTATTTTTTGGTTTCATGTGTGTTTTAATGTTTCCGAAGCGAAGCGAGGGCGGGTCGCTAGTTATATTATAATATTTTGATTACTACTGGGATGTTTTGACGAAGTAATTAAAATTGACTTGCTCCCTTGATTTTTTTTTATACGTACCCAGTGGTATGTTGTTCAACATTTTTATTAGTACGTTTTATTTTCATTTATTGAACCACTAGGAGAGTAGTGAGTTTACTTGCTATTTTTAATATCGTAATTAATTATTGGTGGAATAAGTAAATACTTAGGTAAGAAAATGCTATTTTAAAATGATTTGTACTAGCATTATCATCATCATACAGCTCTACATGCCATGACAACCACGACTACTCTGCCAAGAGTATTCGAATGAGAAGAACACTAACATTAATTGTATCCTCATGCTTAAATTGATTGTTCGCTTGGCCTTCGGATCCGCTTACAAAAAAAGAGCACAATATTTTCCCATTCACCCAGCAAGTTGTCGTCAAAATATTCCCGGTACTTATTTAACTTATTATTTGTTTGTACTCACCTTGTCGGTTTCAGGGGTTTGTTTTAGTTGCTGTCGCCATGGCAACGTGTGACCTCGAACGACCTGGAAGTAGAGGTAATCCGATTTGAATTCATGTTGATAAACTCATAGCATGATTATCGTATTGTTACAGCAGGAGAGATGGATTAAGGGAAATTAACACGATGATTGCGGACCATTTTAATATGCTTTTATTAGCTTCAGACGTATGTATGCTAGTATGTATGTTTGTAACGGAATCTTTGAACATGATTTTGACCCCCTTCAAAACGTCGGATTAACTCGAAATTTTGTATACTTATTAAGGATTGATGACAATTCAATATAAAAAAAAAAGAATTGAAATTCAACTAAAAAATGTAAAATAAATAATAGTTTAAAAAAACTAACAACATACGCTTTTATAGAAAAACCAACTTAAAAATAGAAAATAAATTTTAACAAATTTAAATTAATAATAGTGCAATTGAGACTGCGATCTCCTCATTTCTCTAAGTGTCCTGTGGGATATGATAACCACATATCATCGAGTAGACTGCGAAATCGGCAATTTAGTAAGTAGTTAGTAAATTAGAATAACTTCTTAAACAGACAAACTAAATTTGATACATTCATCTGTGTCTAAGTAAATATAGAATCTTAAAAAAAAACAAAAAAATTATGTCGTTAAATTATCATTAAAAAACACATAAATAAAATATGATTCAAGTTTGAGTTGCCGACAAAGACCCCAAGGTCCTGACGGAATAATTGAGGCTTGAATACGTAATGAGGTCCACGCTACAATTATGGAGGTACTCCAGTTTTCATCCACGTGAATTCTGTGAATTCGTAATGAGATTCGGAAGAAAACGATAATTTGAGAACGAACCTACAATTGTTTCTTGAGGATTCAGCAATTACAATATCGTAACGAGTGTAATTTAAACATGGAATGGAAATATGAATATCTTGTTTAAGTGTTTACAATTTATACAAGACTAGCTGACCCGGCAGACTTCGTAGTGCGTCAATCGATAAATAAAAGACCTAAACTTTTGTATAAAATAAACTTAAGACGAACAAAAGGAATCCATCCGACGAGGGGGACACATCAAAGGGAAAACAAAATTGTTATTTTTATTTCATTCCGAGCATTTTCATATTTATCTACCATTTAAACCTTCTCTGGACTTCCACGAAGAATTCAAGACCAAAATTAGCCAAATCGGTCTAGCCGTTCTCGAGTTTTAGCGAGACTAACGAACGCCAATTAATTTTTATATATATAGATAGATTTCTGAAATAGTTATAGTTAGTTTTCATATGTTTCTATAAATACTATGATCATTATTGTAATGACCTGTTGCTTAGTTGTTAAGTGAACGAATGCTCACAGTTGACACTTCCTGAGAGGAAGGCTAATGTGTTGTTTAGGCACACCTAAATAACACATTACACAGACGTTAGTGGTCTTGCATTCGGCCGACTACACTCGGTGATACGGCGTCTTGTGAGTCCGCACGGGTAGGTACCACCCTACCTATTTCTGCCGTGAAGCAGTAATGCGTTTTTTGAAAACCGAGACTTAGAACTCATTTTAAGCAGCGGCTTGGCTCTGTCCCTGGTATTGCTGAAGTCCATGGGCGAAGGTAACCACTCACCATCAGGTGGGCCGTATGATCGTCTGCCTACAAGGACAATAAAAAAAAACATTAGCTCTTCTTTTATTACTAGCAGAGATAATACTTCGCAGAATATACCACCGGATCGGAATCGCGACCCACTGAGAAGATCCGGCGAGAAGCTCAGTGGGCTGAGTCTGTTGTTCAGTTCCGCTAGTTGAGCTCTTGAAGAGCACAAAAGCACTGAGAGTGGACCTGGGGGATCTGACAAGCCATGTTTCGGGCGACGACGGCTTTGCGTTACCCATGAGTCAGATATGAGGCATGCCTCAAACCGAATGTCGTTTACACGGTTTTTTTTCCATAGACTTTTTTTTGGTGCAATTTTTCCTTATTAGGAAAGGCAAAGGGATCTATGCCCATACAGCCTTGTCTGTTCTATATTTTTTCATAGACCACGATAGTAAAAATAACAGACAGTCAAACTTATTTGTAACACAATTTTGAGCGTACATATGATGCAAGCTTCGTTACAAAAGACACACACATTATAGCAAAAACAAAGGAATATTTAACCTCGGAAATATTCTCATCTTGATTACGAGAATAAAAACGGTAAACATAGTTTCCAAGACAATAAGCAATACAATGCGTGACTAAACTAAGCCGTTGAACTGAAATTGTCTTCGCTCGTCGCCTTCACCGCGAAGGTTTAGGGTTTATTATGGCTTGTTTTCATTCCGTTCTGTTGGTTTACTTAATAATGTTCTCGGCTTCAAGTTCAAGGTATTCTAGTCGTGTCTTGTGCGTCTAATAGATCGGTTATCATATATAGGGAATATGTATTCTTTGGCCTGGTCCTTTAACTAGATTGGCTATGATGCTGAATGTTATGACTTTCATGATTGTTAAAAGACTGTGGAAAAGGAACGAATAGCGGTGACCCTTGGATTTTCATCTTATGACCCCTTTCAGGAGTGATATGATTCCAAACTCTTAACAAGGAATAGATACCATTGGATATTTGTCAACAGGGGCTTGGCTGTGCCCCTAGAATTGCTGATATCCATGGGCGACGGTAACCACTCACCATTAGGTGGGNTGGGCCGGAAGCTCGGAGGCGGTTTTGACGGGCGACGCGGCGATTTATTTTAGGGGCTCGGGGGCAACCACGGTAATTCGCGGGGTGACCCTGTGTTCGACACAGGACGCAGCTAGGCGGTTCCGTCGCGGTTTTTTGGTCGCGAGCGCAGAGGGCCGTGGCGTGATCGCCCAAACACTTAACACATCGGGGGCGCGCGTGAGGGCTCTGTTTGACGGTATGTTACCATAGTAGAGCAACACATCTCGGCGTCATAGCGCGGCGACAGTTTAGCGCTCTGACGCGCGCTAATTACGCGTTCCGTTTGACGAAGGCTGTTCACAGCTGTGGATTACACATAAAGTCTCCATAAATATCAATCAGGCCAATGTTTCAATCAAGATATAAACGCAGTCAATTATAAATGAAAATGAATCGTTTTATTGATACATATTATGTTATTCGATCAGATCCGCACCGCTTTGGACAGTACAGTGTACAGCGCGCTGCATGACGCCGTGGACAGGGGAAAGTGGAAAAAGATCCTAAGATTGAAGCTCATGGGTGATGGTGGTCACGACCCTCAGACATGAGGAACACGACTCGAGGAGGAGGATGTTATTCGTATTTTATTTGTGTTGTACGATGTGAATAAATCTATGTATTAATACGTGAAGCAAAAATTTTGTACCCCTTTTTACGAAAATTGCGCCGACGGAGGAGTATGAAATTTCCCACATTCATAGAGAATATAGAGAAGGAGTGCAGAATGTTAATATTTTAATTATGAATAAAAATACATTAAATCAATAAATAAAAACATTACACACACTACCACGTATTTGACACACACATACATATATACTCTTTTATTGAGTCTGTGGTCAAATTGAGAATAGATTAATATTGTTTGTTTTTAATATTATTTGTCTATAGTGTAGTCTTGGCGAAATCTGTGATTAAAGAAGTAAAGGAGACTTTTTGACAGAAACGCGAGGAGTGAAGTGTGTGATTTGTTTTATTCTCCGGATCCTCCAAAAAGTCCACGCTCCACTGAAAAAATCTCAGTAAATGACCACCATTTTACTGAGATATCATATCATCTTATCTCATCTCATTTAATTTCATTCCAGTTGATTGATGTCTCAAATTAATCATCTTCATTTCATTTAATATCATTTCATTTCATTTCACTCTATATTATTATTTTTCAAGACATGACTTAAATGTCTTAGTTATACCAAGTCATAAAATTTATTAAAAAAAGAAAGTCTTTGATAATAGAACGTAATGTTCAAATTTATAATATCAATTATGTAATTATAGTCTCTGCCATTGCCGGTCCCAAGCCCGGATGTGAAAAGAGGAGGGTTGAGTAGAGCTGGACATTCCTACGGTAAAACGTCAACGCCGAGCACTGGGCGGCGGGAAATAACCCAGCCCCCGGATACAACCAGAGACCCGGAGCGGGACCAGTTTGCCGTGAAGGACTAAATCCCTTCGAAATACTGATGTGGAAGGACGTGGGAACCCACCACAATTACATCCCAAAAGAGTCATGGACAGAGAAACATTTAAACTGTTTCAAGGCCATGACCACGACCCTCAGTAATGAGGAAACCGACGCAAGGAGGAATTATAGTCGAATTTCGACTACTCGGGGATATTTGTTTATTATGTTTTGTAAATGATTTCAGTCATACATGATTTTACAAGGCTCTAACATGAATTGAACGAAATAAAGCAAACAAAAGGCGACAGGGCACTTCAGCTTCGCAAACAGGTTTCCTGAGAGCAAACGCTTCAGTTTATTTTCGCGAACACATCGCATATTCCCGAGAGTGTCTAGTGTTATTCGAATAAAGTATTTTCTATGCAAAGGCTGCTTTGGGATTTTATGTACCACTAGCGACCCGCCCTCGCTTCGCTTCGAAAACATTAAATTTTATTATTGATAGCTGAGTCCCGCCATGTTACGCGCGGCTATTGTCGTACCGCGGGTGACGCCGCGGGGCGAAGCTAGTCTTAAAATAATAGGCGTATATTATTTACTGGCGGTAGGACGTCTTGCGAGTCCACACCGCCCCGCCTATTTCTGCCGTGAAGCAGTAATGCGTTTCGGTTTGAAGGGTGGGGCAGCCGTTGTAACTATACTGAGACCTTAGAACTCATGTCTCAAGGTGGCTGTATTTACGCGGGCCGAAGCTAGCTATCATCAGATACTTATCAGTGAAAGTTTCGTTAAAATCAGTCCAGTAGTTCCAGAGATTAGCCGGAACAAACATACAGACAGACAAAAATAAATAAATAATATTTTGGTATATGTACTGTGGTATAACATACCTACGCATTTAGTAAAAAGTGGATATTTTATTATT